CTTTGTGTGTTGCAGGCAACAACTTACTAGTGGAATAAGCACAGTAGGGGTTCACTGCAAGAAAACATTTAGTAATGGCTGTTTTCAATTGTTTTTCGAATTTTGTTGAAATATTACCAATCCATGGTAGTTTTAGGTAAACAGGACAATTGTTAGGACCAAATTTTGGATCAGTTGAGAAGCTCGCAATTTTACTTGAAGTAATTTGATTGATGACGTTTGCTGAATACTCATTTTCTAGTACAATAGTTTTAATTGCCTTCAATTTGAAATCTAGTGTAGATTTTGAACAGATAACTAAAGCCTGATGGACTAAAGTAGCAATAAGGTTCGTTTTGTGACTTTTGGGACTGAAAGAATCCCATCATGTGTATTTTCCTGTAAAGGTAGGTTTTCTGTATATACTGTTGAGAAAATGAAAGTCATCTTTTTCAACTAAGACATCTAGGAACGGTTTCCATTTATCAACGTTATATCTTCAATACCTGTGCAAGAACTCAAGAACTCAAATCTTTTAATCAAACACTGACTTTTATATTAAACTCTGAAGCAAAATCTAAAAAAATTATAAGTATAATGTAAATTACTTCAAATTTAAAGCTAATTAGTAATTTTCAATTTAAAAAACATCTGATTTTGCTTTGAATAATATACATGGAGCAAAAAATGCAAAGTTATAATTTTCCTATACTGAAAATGTATTTCCAATAGGTACTTACCTCTACTCACATAAATAGCTATTCTCCTTCAGTGCTGCACTCTATGTGCAAAAGTATTTTTACACATGCAACAAGCCTTCTGCCTCCCTTCCATTGGAAATGACTCATTCCAATGTGTGTATCATGCAAATCATGCAGCACACTCCCTCTATTAAATTCTACCAGAAGATCACTTCAAGTTTTGGCAGAAAATGGAAGCACTGGTTTTCAGTGGGAAGTGTGAATGGAGGTAAGTACCTATCAGAAATACATTTTCAGTATAGGAAAATTATAGCTTCTAATACGGTACATTACCTCTTCTCACCTAAATAGCTAGAATCCCATATTGAATAGTGGAAGGGACCAGTGCAAGGGAAGAAATGAAGCATCCTTCAAAAGCGTCCGAGAGACACATATTGAAACAAAAGATCTGATGTGGGAGGCAGCTCCACGTTTGAACTGGGTATACTCTGTGCCCATTGGATAAAGATGTGGTATATATGGGCAGAAAACCAGAGGAGCACATCCAAATGTGTAGGAAAAAACAATGGAAGTGCCCTGAGGTGTAGAGTGGTTGGGCATAACGGACCACACTCGGCACGTCAACTACCTCCAAAACCTATGCTGCTGGGAACCAACATCCACATGGGGTAGGATGAGGATCATACAGTTTTCACCTAAAGTTCAAGAGATGGGGGGGATCTCAAACCCTCCACTCTTGAACAGGGTACAGGTTAATAATATAGTGATATATCAATCTAGAAACCCAACATCTGGTATTGAAAAGATGTCTACCATAGAAAAATCAACTTTCTCAACAATGAAACTGACTGGAACCAACCCTGGCACAATAACATCTTCGAAGTAAGATACATCAAGGGAGAGTAGAAGGGAAAGAACCATAACAATCCCAAGTACCTCCACTGTGACCCACAACACAGATTGAGTATACTTGAGGGATGAAGACAGACATCTGTAATACATGTGTGAGGACTTATGTTAATTGGTTATACTCTAAGTCCAAAACCCAGCCACTGGGAACTGATATACACATGGGGGTAGGATGAGAGATCCCAATCTAAGAGGTGAACTGCAATTTGACGTCTCACTCCTTTGGTTTACATATACGTTATAGCAAAGGATATTATGTCATCTACGCTAGCAAAACACCATATCCCTACTCTGTATTGATTTGTTATTTCATTAAACCATTCAGGAGGATGCCTCCATGGTCCACCACCCCAGTGGCTTGGTACTGGAAAAGTGGTAAGGACTCCCAAACTCCACTAGAAGAAAATGGGAGTGAAATGCAGTGGAGAGTCTGGAGAAAAGGTAATTTACCCAGTCACCATCACATGTTTTAAACAGTGAAGGGTAGCAACAGGTGAATGACAGTACCCTGAAAAGAAAGAAATAGCTATCCAAAACAGAGAATGGGAGATGAACGTGTGAGACGTAGTCCCAGTGCTCGACAGACAAAGTAACTCCAACTGACACCAGGGCAGACATTCAGGGAAAAAAGAAAGGTGTAGGTTAGGAGGGAAGACACCAGGAAGTTAACAAGGGTACAAGGAAGATAAGGCCAAACAAATCACAATTTAAACCCAATAGGTAAAGGTGGAAGGGAAATATAATATACAACAAAGTGGAGTAAGGGGAGGAAACGTGTTGAAAATATAACCTAGATAGCCCTGGCACATTCTGCAGTAGAGGCCTAGAATGCACTCCATGAGAAAGCGAAGGATAACTGACAAACCTAGGATATCTGAAAATGGGTTCAGTTGTTATAGGAGGATGATGAGCAAGAAGTATAAAGTATACATTAAATAAAATTAATGGTAAGATACTGTGTAGGGAAGTAAACAGATAGATATGATATTCTGTGTTGATGAAAATATAAATAAGTATTGATAAACCCATCAAAAGAACTACAGGAAAATGAAATTAATAGACACTTATTAAGCCTAATCGAACAAGATATTTAACCTAATTAATGATTAATGTGGAAGTAGAACTACTGGTAAACCAAAAATAAACATTTAAAAACCCTAATTGGACAATACATAACACAGAATATCACTAAGCCTAAAAAGAAATATGTAACCAAAAAATAAATATGTACAATATTGGTATAAGTTTGTGTGGACCCCGGCTCAAGCGTTCCACACAAACCAAGTTAATAGGAAGAAAACAATATAGTGAAAGTAATTATAGAAATACCAGTAAAATAAATTACAGGTATTCCTAAAATACAAAGACCATGGTAAGCCTAAGCAAATGGAAGAGTAGAAATATACAACTGAGACTAATGGCTAACATAAAGTGGACTATGAGTATTAATCAATCAAATGACACTTATGTTACGGAACCCAGAAAAAGACATAATAATATTAACAATAAATCTATAATGTCTTATCTTTCCAAAGTCGGCAAGTAGTATTTTAAATGTGTTGGCCCCCAAATTCGAGGCGAGACCCGTAGAAAGTCAGTTCATAGGACAATAAATTTCCCAATGTAGGAAAGCTGAAATTCTTCCCACAGAGTATGGGGACCTGAAGCCTGTGTAAATTGCTAATAGAACATATAACCTCCGAAGTGGGAACGAAAAAATTTATAATGAAAAATGAATATCCAACTGTGTTGGGAGAAACAATAAAAGTTTTTTTGTAATGAAGTAATAATTAAATAAGTTCCGTAACCAGGTAGAAATATAAACTAATTCCA